GAGCTAGACTAAACTCTGTTATGCCCAGATTTCAAGATTCCCAAGGACCCACCAGGGAGCCAGCAAGTCCGATGCAAAAGCAAAGAGTCATTTATTTCAAACCTAGGTTTGGCTCCCCTGCCCCCCCTTACTGGCACAGCAGCAGGTGGCAGAGAGAGCAAACTCTGTGTGGAGAGAGGGTTTATAGGGGGTTGGGGTAAGGGGAGGAGAAAGGACTATGGGCCCTGCCGATTGGCCAGGCGCCAGTCGGTGTCTCATTACACAGGATGTGGTCATAGTGATGGCGTGCACTTCCCTTGACTATCATTGGCCAGTCCAGAGAAATTCTGGGCATGGCCAACAGCGGCTTGGCTTCTGGGAAGAAGCCTTGCTGAGCATATGGCCAACGTAAGATGGAGGGCATAGCCCTTACCCTGGGGCAAGGTGGAGGGCGTAGTCCTCGCCCTTTCAAACTCTATGAGGGCAGACACTATATATCTTCTCTACTCTATTTCTGAGCCTGAAAATGGTCTAGAAAATAGTAGGCACTCAATCTAGTTGTTGAATGAATAAATGGATAAATCCCACAATAGATCAAATGGAAAAACCAATTTACAAAGCAGTATGTAAGACCCTACTCTGTGAAATACAGTATATCTACTTGAGAGTGAGTGAGTGTGTGAGTGTGTGTGTGTGTGTGTGTGTGTGTGTGTGTGTGTCAAAAAAAATGCCAATGGGTGGTGAAATTATAAATGATCTTCAACTTTGCTAAATGTTATGCAGTTTTTCTGTAGTATGTGCTGTTTTTATAATCTAGGGGAAGAGATTTAGAGGGAGAGGGAGAAGTGAAGGACAAAGAATAAAACATAAAGGATGGAGAATAAAGAAGTAGTCACCACTGGGAAATGGACTATTTAATTCTAAAGACATAGCTGGTAGGATATCAAGTATCAATTGTGAGAGATTCCTGTCACCGCTCTGACTATTTCACAAAGGTGAATGTTAGGATGAAAGAAAGGCCTTTCTTTTCTTTGCTGCAGCCTTCCACAATTTATGAGAAGCAAACTCCAAGATTTGTAGCTCCTCTGATACAGTCTCTCTGTTCAAAACATGGAACAAGATAAGCTAGTTCCAAGCTACATTCTTGCATACCCTTCATTCCTGCGCATACCCCTCCTCCCTGCTGGTATACAACCCAGGGATAATTAGTAGAAAGTTCCCTTCCCCCTCCTCTTCAAACAAGCTTCTTTGGAACTCTTCATAACTTTTGCTCTAAGAATGTTTTACAGGCTTGAGAAAAATACTGATTAGACACCTCCCTAGGTCATCTGCCCAGATTGTCTCCTGAAGAACTAACAAAGACAACCCCCTGAGGTCTGGGGGGTTTGTAAATCATGGTAGATTATGCATCACCTCCCCCTCCCTTCCTTGTCCAAGGCTTTAAAAGCAGGGGTGGTGGGGGGCAGCTTTTGCTCCTTGCCCTTGTATTGATTAGCAATGCACTGGCGCTTTCCCTTGGGGGAAAGTAAACGCTCTCTCACTGTATCTATCTCTTCTCTTAGTTGTGAATTCTTTCACAGCCCAAGTCACCAGCCCCAAAACCCTAACAGTAAGTACCTATTCTATATACTCTGGCTGCCTTCAAAGGCAAAGACTTCCCCAGCTGTCTTCAAATGGAAGATGGATTTCAGGGATTCTTCAAGGTTCAGGATTGCCAGCCTCCCGTAGACTTAGAAATATTCCTCCCTAACCCCTAGCCTGACTTAGACATGATGCCCTCATCCTAGAAGCTTCCCTGATCCACTGACACATGATTTAGCCCCAGCCTGTGTCAAGAATATGGACCATGATGCTAATCCTGGAATTTTCCTGCAATCTGGTCTGTACATCTCCCTGTAACCTGGCCCTTCCTCCATGCTACACGGGCTCTCTCTTCTTCCCAGTCCTGATCTAGGCTTCCTTTTCAACATAGAGCATCTGAGGTATTTTCCTAGGGAATGGTGGCTTTTCTTGTAACATCTATAAAAGCCACTTAGGGCAACAATTCAGAACAGCCTGCCCTACTCCCAAAGTACCCAGAGCTGTGCCAATGGGGAGAGGGCTACCTCCTGTCTGTAGATCTTGAAAAGATGGGCAAGCATTTATTGAACTCTAAAAACTAGGAATTTTAAAATGGCTTCTTCTCCAAGTCTTAAGACCAGGGCTGCTATTCTTTGAAGATCAGATTGGATGAGTTTAGGAAATTAGATAAAGTGCCAGAACAAGCGGTGAGGTCCTGGCACTCTCCTTGGACCATCAGACAAATACAGATGCCCTGTCATTAGTCCAACTCTGATATGACTTCTGTGGAGGAGGATGCATAATCTACCATGACTTACAAACCCTCAGCAGCTGTCCCATTACCCCAGGGTTTCAGCTTTCTGAGAAGAGATGGGAAATGCCAGTGAAAGGTTAGGCATGCACGCATTTTCCCCATTTCTAATTTTACATCCATCTGGAATTATAGTAGGCAGTTAGACAGATATGAGTAGAGTGGGAACAATAGGCCAGGTGCAGAGGGTCACCAGGGTGTAGAGCTCTGGGTGCCTAGCAATGGGCAAAACTATAAGCCCTTGGATGACCACTCCCTTAAGCATTAATTCTGGGAAGTTGACATTTAGGCTTCAGATGTGTTTCGGCTCCAGGCCCAGAGAAGCAGCAAAATCAGATGGTGTAATGCCATGGCTGACATCAGGACTAGCTGCAATGACTAATGACCCCTGGTGCCAACCAATCAGTGGAGACCATGAAGGGGCACACTTGAAAGTTGATGAATGGTCTATTGGGATTCTCCCCTAAAGCCTCCAGATAAAAACTCTCAAGATGGAGAACCCTCCACAGCTCTCTGTGGAGCATGCCCACACTTACCCACACACACACACACACCTTCTTTCCCCAGAGAGCTTTCTCTTTCTTCCAGAGCACACTGTGCCTTTTCTCTGGATTTCATCTCAAGGCAAGTATCTCTCTCTCTTCCCTAAGCTCCAAGAGCCCTTTTTTGCCTCTGTAACTCATTTCCTCAGCCCATTTCTTCTATGGCTCACTTCTTCTACCTCTGTGACTTACTAATAAACTTTCTCTTATGGTTTGAGTCTTAGCTCTGAATTCTTTCCTACCCAGAACTCAAGTACTGAGATTGCTTTTTACCCACTACTGAGGTCTAACACCTGGTGCAGTGTTTCTGCCACTAACAAAATGAGCTTTACTAGGGTAGCACTCCTACAGTCTCTTCCCTGATGAATAAGTTTGGAAGGTAGAACTGGGCATGCATTGCTCTTCCCCTCTATCTCATAGGGTCTGGCTGTCCACAGCAAGTTTATGTTCTGCTCTCTTATTTATCATGAGGGGTCTAATCCCATAGGGAAGATCATGATGGCCTTATGCTGCCTCTGTCCAGGGGGAAATCTAGCCTAATCCTGAGGTCCATGATAGGAAATGAATTTCACCAAAGTATAAGCCACATTCTCCCATACCTGCTTTATTGATAATAAAGGCAGTATTGGCTCTCCATTAGCTCATTCCTTTGTCTTTTTAAATTGGCTTAGAATGTGATCAGGGAAAGAGGGTGTTATATATTTACCCCTTCAGATCCCAGAGCTATGTTTGCAAAAAGAAAATTTGATCTATGTCTGGCTGGCATAGGAGTGGAGCAAAGGAGGCAAAGTCCTGGTGGAATCTATTCCCTTAATGCGCTGCAAAACCTTTTTCTTCCAAGGCCGATCACAGGGGCCTTCACAGGGGCAGAGGATAGATGATAAGATCTCTTTAGGAGTGGGGAGGGGGTGTCCCCACTTACACACATAAGTACTCTTGGGCAGACCTATCACAAGAAGCCCAACGAAATGGGTAAAGGAGAAGCCAAGACAATTCAGTGCCTGTTTACCCACTACTGAACTTCTGTAAGACCACCATCCACACCTGATTTCCCTCCATTCTTGTCTATTCTGTGATGCCTTGAATGAAAGTCAAGCACCAAAATGTGAAATACAGTGCAGTTTATTGAGAAAAGAAAATGCGACATAATCATCACCAGAGGACCCACAGCTACGGGAATTAAGGAGACAGAGGTAAGTCAAGATATGATGCCCAGAAGTGGGGAAGGCATCCTGTGAACCAATAGTCCAGAGGTCTTGACCATCCATGCTCTAGCACTGGCCCTCCTCAGACAAGGCTGAAACATGCCAGGTTCAGACCATTAACCCCCAGGGAGAAAGGGAAGTGGGCCAGAGTGGGAACAGGCAGGCTGGGAAGGTCCACACTGGTTTTAGCTCAAGTGTTGCTGTCCAAAGTCAGGGGCCATCACAAGGTCACATCTAGGGACATCAACATCCCAGACTAGCATCTGGCCTTCCCTGGCCTGGGAGATGTCTACAGGATGGAGGATCCAGAAAGAAGTTCAGCCCCTTCTCCAGGGAATTTAAGGAAAAGCAAGGTTGAGGTTGGCATCTAAGAGTGGGAGTGCTGTTGCAGGCTGAGAGGGAAGCAGGTGGGCATGGAGATTTGGCCCTGGAGGATCACTTGGAGCTGTGCTGGCTTGAGCTGGGGGTCTGAGAGAAGCGGATATTGGTGCTGCCTCCACCGCCAGACTTGTAGCCACTGCCTCCAGTGGTCTGGATGCCACCAGAGCTGGAGCCAATTCCGCTCTGGCTCACAGAGCTGCTGCCTCCACCGCTGAGCCTGCTCCCAGCGCTGCCACTCTGGTAGCCACCAGTGCTGGTGCCACTGCCGCTCTGGTAGCCTCCGGTGCTGGTGCCACTGCCGCTCTGGTAGCCTCTGGTGCTGGTGCCGCTCTGGTAGCCTTCGGTGCTGGTGCCACTGCCACTCTGGTAGCTCCCAGTGCCACCATTCTGGAACCCCCTGGTGCTGCCGCCGCTAATGCCACCATAACCACTGCTGTTGCCACCGCTTGCTCCTCTGTGGCCACCACTGCTGCCTCTGCTGCTGCTGTTGCCTCTGTAGCCACCGCTGCTGCTGCCACTGACCCCTCCAAAGCCACCACGGCTTCCGCCAGAGCTGCCGCTTGTGCTGGTGACATTGCTGACCACTGCTATAGGAGAACAGGCACTCGATTCAGGCTAATGGGCTAGGCCTATATCCCAGCTCCACCCTACTTGGCTGTGTGACTTAGAGAAAGATACCCAACTTCTCTGAGACCTCAGTTAGTTTGAGAGAGAGAGAGAGAGAGAGAGAGAGAGAGAGAGAGAGAGAGACTGGCCCTTTAGTGCTATTTTCCAAAAACAAGAGTCAGGAGTATCCACATAAATTTCTGGTTCTCCAACCTGGGGAACCCCCAAGACCTCAAGGGTGTGCCAGTTTACACTAAGTTAAGTGTGTGTGGCCATGGCCTGAGACCCGAGGTACCATTTGGTGGCCTGGCCTCCTTTCATGGGTCAGGTTCTCCTGCCTGAAGGTCAGGGAGGATGTTCCTAATTCCTCTTTTTACAATCCAGGAGAAGGTTTTTGAAGGATACTTACAAATGCTCACAGCACTCTGACACTCTCCAGACATCCTAAAAAAGGAGAGAAGGAGAGGTGGATTATTTCTGCAATGAGACATTAGCCACACTGCTGAAGGTTCATAACTTTGGGAGCCATGTTCTCCCATTTGCCCAACTAGGGGTCAAGTTCACAGAGGAAGAAAGGCTATTCCAAGCCTGTTTCCATGACCAGATCTCCTCAGGAAATGGGGCTGCTTCAGGGGTTGAGATGTCCAGAAACTCTACCAGCCACCCTCCAGATCTCATCTTTCCCTTAGTTCCCACGATTATCTGTTCTAGGCAAATCCCACTTGATTACCCCATTCTCACCTCTCCTCCCCTGCTGGACCTTCTTACCACCTTGCCTTCCTTCTCCACCCAGCCCTGGCCTTTTTATTTCTGACTTTCCTCTTCCAGGAGACCTTCTCCAATGAGCCCTCCTGGGGTGGTGCTGGGGGTGATGATGATGGTTGTTCAAGGTGGGTAAAATGTGACAGGAGCTGACACAACACATGAATTTGAAAATGCCCTGTGCACACTGCTCATCTTCCTATGCCTTGTTCTTGTTTGTGGAGCAGGCATGTCCACAAATCTGAGTAGACATGGAATATGTCTGCACACCTTGCCAATGTGGGCCCCCCTGGTGTCGACCACTCCCTCCTCATTGCACAACTCCCAGTACACAGAGCTCCATCTTCACTCGCACTCCTCTCCATAGGGACTCATAAGAAATCCTTACGTTTTCTTCTCTCACTTGCATTTTGCTTTTCTCCATCAGATTGGGAGCTGCCCAGGGACAAAGGCTATGAACCTGGACTGCCTAAAGCATCTAGTCAGTAGAAAGATCTCTCAATTCTTAACACACTTTTGGCCTTTGATATCTACTCACTAAACCCTAACTTGCTGCTTGATATTGAGTTAGTTTTCCAGAGTATGTATGTATCAGCCACCTCCTTATATGGACTCAGGCCCAGGGGTTGGTGGTTGCAGAACTGTCTATATTGAGCTGTCTATATGTTAACCATTAGCCACATAAAAATATTTAAATTTATTAAAATTAAATCAGATGTAAAAATCGGTTCCTCAGTTGCACTAGCCACATTTCAAGTGCTCAAATGGCGAATGGCTATTGTATTGGACAGCACAGATACAAAGCATTTTGATCATCTCAGAAAGTTCCACCAGACAGCCACTATAACTTTTTTTATAGTCTCAAAGCACTTTTTCTTACACATCATACATAGTAAAGATCAACAAAGGATGTAATACAATATTGATGTCCACAGTAAGTTGAAGAGTTGGATGATGTTGATAAATAAAAAATAAGGGTGCTTGAATGCTAAACGCTGTCATTCAGGAGATTCCTTACCCTTTGTCTGGGTTGTCCTCTCCTTGTCATCTTGCCTTCTTTCTTCACTATCAAACATCACTTTAAAATTATATCTGGAGAATGCTGACCCCACCACCCCTCACCTGCACTCCTCGCCCTCCAGCAGCTTGCGGTAGGTGGCGATCTCCACATCCAGGGCCAGCTTGACATTCATCAACTCCTGGTACTCACGCAGCAGCCGGGCCATGTCATCCTTGGCCTTCTGTAGGGCAGCCTTTAAGCCTTCAAGCTTGGCACTGGCGTCTTTGAGGGCCATTTCCCCACGCTGCTCAGCTTCAGCAATGGCTGCCTGAAGGTTGGCATGCTGAGACAGAGGAAAGTAGATCAATTAGCATAGTGACCAGGAAACAAACACCTGAACTTTCCTGAGAGGTCTCTTCCCCATCCAGCATCCCTTTGTTCCCTTCCTTAGAGATTCAATGGGGCATGCTCAGAAAAACAGAAGTCAGTTTTGCAAGTGGCTCATTCATCTCTGGCCCATTGAAATTGACTCATGTCTCATCAAGAAACGGAACACTGATTTGCTGGCAAAGGTTGTCGTGGTCTGGTGGGTGGTTCTTTTGGTAAGACTGTTTAAAAACTCCCTTGCCTAATCATTTCATTTCAGTGATACAAATTAGTCATCAAGGTTATGTGACAAATAGTCACAGAGAGCAGATCCTACTGAGAGCTGAGTGTTAAAGGCCACCCCTACAGTTGCAAGATTTGGCAAACTAGAATGGGCAACCATCTCTTCTTAGGGACCAGCAGGAAGCCCAGCCTTTACGAGGAACATCTGGAGAAACAGAATGTCCCAGAGATGGTGCTATTCCACATGTGACACCATGAAAGGACAGAGAAAGCATGTGGCAGGGGCACAGCTGTTGCTTCTCCTTCTCCCCAGGGCCCAGAAGACCTCCAAGATCTCCAATAACCCCAGACCCACCTGTTTCTTGACATTTTCAATCTCGGCCCGCAGCCTCTGGATCATTCTGTTGAGCTCCATGATCTCACTCTTGGTGCTCTTCAGGTCATCCCCGTGTCTGCCGGCTGTGGTCTGCAGCTCCCCAAGCTGACAGAAGAGAACCCAACCAACATGTTTTTGAAAAATGTGGAAGCATTCTTGATTAAGGTCAGCAGGACCTAAAACTAGAATGTGGGAATAGGAGGAGGGCTCCCACCTTGGTCTGATACAAGGCTTCAGCCTCAGCCTTGCTCCTCTGGGCAATCTCCTCATACTGGGCCTTGACCTCAGCGATGATGCTGTCCAGGTCCAGGCAGCGGTTGTTGTCCATGGACAGGACCACAGATGTGTCACTCACATGACTCTGCATCTGGGACAGCTCCTGTGAGGAACATGGATGGTCATCTTCACTATCCTCTGGCCTCAGGGGATATTGGGAATGAAAAAGTTCAAGAATTTTGATCAGCAAAGATATCCCAACAATGGGGCCAGGAGTGGGACAGTTAGAATAATAAGCTTGCATTTTAGGCCTGGTTAGAGATGAAACGATGTCAGACAACAATGCTAAAGGAAAAGGAAATACACAAATATAATCGGGTCAGCCTGAAAGTATCAGCGAGCAGCATTCTGTGTGGGTTTCGATGGGACTGCAATAGGGAAGAGTGTTCTGAAGGAGCTAGCTGTGATACTCGTATAGGAGCCAGAGGGAAGATGTAGAGCAAAATGGGAAAGTAAAGCTGACAGAGAGGAACCTTGGCCCTGTGGGCCAGGTCTATACAGGCTGGGGAGCTAAGTTAGCATTTCCTGGGTAGGGCGGAGCTGAGTTCTGAGCCCTGACACTGCTTTTGTGTGTGTTCTGCCACTTGACTGTCCCCTAAAGTTATACTTGAGAAGCATGTTTGGGAAGATGCAGGCAGGAAGGCTGTGGAGCTTGGCAAACCAAGGAAATCACCATCTCATAGAGGGTCCTCAAGAAGTTGAGCTCATCCGTCAGGCTGTCGACCTTGGCCTGCAGCTCCACCTTGTTCATGTAGGCCCCATCCACATCCTGGGGCAGAGGAAATGGTGGTCAGAAAGCAAAAGAAGACCTCTGCTCCCCTACCACCCATAGCTCTCTCCTAAGTCTTCATCTCTCCCCTTTGTCCCTCACCCACCCCTCCTCCTAACTGTGAATTCTCACCTTCCCTCTTTAAAAAAAGAAAAGAAAGGAAGGAAGGAAGGAAGGAAGGAAGGAAGGAAGGAAGGAAGGAAGGAAGGAAGGAAATAAGAAAGGAAGGAAGGAAATAAGAAAGGAAGGAAGAAAGAAAGAAAGGTATTCTTCCTTATAATTGCTTTGACCAGTCAAACCCCAACAGTGTAACACACTATAAACCACATCAGCCAGGCATGGGATAAGGGTAGAAAAAGCACATTTTTCTAATATTTGACTTTGGTAGTATAGCACTAAAAACCACCCTCCTGAATTGGAATAAAGGTATTCTTCTCACTATTCCATCTGTATGATAACTGATCTAAACAAGTGACAGTATTTATAGATTGTTACTTTTAATAACATATGCGTACATCTGTGGGCTAAAAACTTTGATTAATTCTATCCAAAAAATGTTAATTATCAGTTGGCATTACTAATCAGCTGATTTCCAGAAATGTAAGGAAAAATGTAAGCCACACACATGGCGGAGGGTCGCCATGCCCAGAGCTGGCTCTGCTCTCCCCATGGTGGCAGTGCCCAGAAACGGAGCCTCAACCTGCCCATCCCAACTCACTTACCTTCTTGAGTCCCACAAACTCATTCTCGGCCGCAGTGCGTTTATTGATCTCATCTTCATACCTGGGACGGAAAGAGACACACACTTGGACAGTGACATTTCAGAAGTTAAAAAATAAAAAAGATGAAGATCTCTAGCATTCATGCGGAACCTCCTCACTCAGAGATGAGACCAGCTACAGGGGGCCCTGGGCTCACACTCAGTTTAATGCTCTGCTGACACCATCTTTAAATTCTTAATAATATTTTAACAAGGGCCCTGCATTTTCATTTTGTACTGAACCCCCAAACTTATATAGCCAGTTCTGTCTGGAGGCCTCTCCTTGCCCTCCTCCAAGTCGGGGTGACAGGCTGAGGTGTGGGCAGGCGGGGTGGAGGGAGATTTCAAGGAGCCAGCTACTTGCGGCTTCGACAGGCATCACAAAGCACAGTGCATATGTGAGACCTAGAGAGATATTTGCTCAGAGCCGGTGTTTCTGTTTCTCTTTTCATTAATTACAGTTGCTTCTTATAGGAATTAGGGATAACAATGAACTCATGTCTCCTGAATGCATCAAAGTTACCGGCTTTGTGCCTATTAAAAATCTCCTGCTGAGATTAAAGACTGGAATGATTCCAGGAGGAAAGAGGTTTCTGAATGATGAGAATATGAGTTGTCACTGGACTCCCAGAGCCTAGCACTCAGCCTGCCACAGATGGGTTCCCACCAGGTCTGTGCGGTTGAATTGGACTGGGGCTTCCCCTGAGCAGGTGTACCCACTCTCATGGGTCCTGACGCCCAAGGATGCCTGTGAGAAGCCCTGTTTGCCTCTCACAGACCTCAGGGGGTGTCAACTACAGCTCCAAACTGCATGAAGAAGCTGAATGAAACTGCAGAGATGGGGTTGGACTGCACACCCTGAAAGTGCCTTCCCCAGCAGGCCTGGACTGTCTACCCAGAATCCCTGGGACCTGTGGGGCACTCAGACTTCTGGGACCTGCCCGTACCCACTGATCCTGGATGTCTAGGACCAGAGCACAGGAATGTACATTTTTTACAAACTCCCACAGGGATTCCTATGTACAGTTAAGTGTGTCGGGCTCTTCATCCTAAAGAGCTTCAAACTCTGGGAGGCTCTCCTGTCCATCTGGGCTGGCATAGGAGGGAGCCTGCACTGAGGCTGAAAAACATGTCATAATTACCTCCTAGAAGTCTCAGTCCCCACCCTCTCACCCCCTTCCGCTCGGTCATGTTTCCCTCAATAAACCATCCAAGGTGTTGCCTGAAGGTGCAGTCGGGAACAATTAAAATCCCAAAGTGGGGTCAGTCCTCCCTGCTAATCCCCCAGAAAAGGAAAGTGTCCAGTTGGGGCCTCACTTCTTTTTGAAGTCTTCCACCAGGACCTGCATGTTCTTCAGCTCTCCTTCCAGGTTCCCTCTCTCCCCCAGAGCCAAGTCCAGCTGCCTGCGCAGGAAGCTGATGTAGGATTCGAAGAAAGGCTCCAGGTTGTTGGGGCCCGAACCGGAGCCTGTGGTCTGCTGCTGGAGCAGATTCCATTTGGTTTCCAGGACCTTGTTCTGCTGTTCCAGGAACCGCACCTGCATCCCAAAGGGTAGAAATAAGGAGCATGAACCCAGTTTTTTTTTAACTGCAATAGCTTCTGGGTTTTTGTTGTTGTTTTGTTTATTGGGTTTTTTTGTTTTGGTTTTGTTTTGGAGTTATTGTTTTTTTGGAATTTGGGAAAGATGAAGATTTAGAAAAGGGAGAGCTAGAATATTAAGTGCTCACTCTATACCTATTTTCACATATTTCCTCTCATATAATCCTCACAACCACCTATAAAGGGGATGTTATTATCCCCATTTTGTAGATAAGGAACCTGAGCTTAATTAGGTTGCCCAAAGTGATGTGGCTACTAAGACACAAAGCTAAGAGTCAAACCAAGCACTTCTCTAGTCTATTGAGATCCTTCAGAATACAACTAAAGGAGGGCAGCACAAATAAAGTTATTTATTATTAAAAACTTATTCACCTCTAGACAGGCAGAGAAAACAGTCAATGAGGTCTAACTTTTCTCAGGTTGTTCTGGATTTTCTTTAAACTTACAGGTAATCTAGGTTTAACTTCCAATCCCAGGTTCATCCTCCAGACCAAGCACACCCTCCCCTGTACCAGCATGGACCCCTCAATTTAATAGCGGCTAAAGCACAGCACCATTGAGAAGGTAAGTCAGTTGCCAATACTGTCATTGAGATAAAGTCCCAAGATTTCTACTAGTGCAAGCTTAATTACCAGCCAGTTTAGATTTTCACAATTGCTTTCTAAGAGTAATGGAAAATTAGCTATTATAGTGTCATAGTTAATGCCCTATTCTTAACAAGAACTAAAAGCATATTTGGACCCTCACCTCATTTTTCCTGGTCTTAGCCCTAGAAGTAAATCAGGATTCAGAATCCTACTGCCTTTTATCGCTGGGAAAAAAGGACCCAAAGAGCAAGAGAGGCAGGCTCACTGTCTTGTAGGGACCAAGGCAGAACCATGACAAGAAGCCACACCCCTGCCTCTAAGCCAGGCAGATCCCACTGCATCTTTCTATACGAACCCCCTGGGTGGCCCAAACCCTCTATGACGCCCCTGGGCTTTTCCCTCACCTTGTCGATAAAGGAGGCAAACTTGTTGTTGAGGGTCTTGATCTGCTCCCGCTCCTGGGCCTTGACCTGCCCAATCTGAGGGTCGATCTCCACATTGAGGGGCTGCAGAAGGCTCTGGTTGACAGTCACTTCCTGGATTCCCCCAGGAAAGCCACCAGGGCCAAAACCACCAGGACCACCAAAGCCACCAACCCCTCCAAAACCACCAGCCCCTCCAAAGCCACCAGCCCCTCCAAAGCCACCAGCTCCTCCAAAGCCACCAACCCCTCCAAAACCACCAGCTCCTCCAAAGCCACCAGCCCCTCCAAAGCCACCTCCCATTCCTCTGCCACCACCAAAGCCACCACCAAAGCCACCTCCAAAGCCACTGCCACAGCTGCTACGTCCTCCCCCAAAGCCACCAGTCCGGGAACCACCAGCCACACTGATGGAGATGCTCTTGTTGCCACCCAGGTTGTAGAGGCTGCGACTGCCAAAGCCACCTGCCCCGCTCCGGAACCCACAGGCTCCTCCACTGGCTCCCCCTGAACGGGCCACACAGCTCATCCTGCTGCTGCCGCCAGAGACCACAGCAGAGCGGCCAGAGAAGCCCTGGCTCCTGCCGCTGAAGGATTTCTTGCAGACTTGTCTGTTCATGGTGAGAGCTTGGAGGTGAGCTAGCAATCACTTAGCAAGAACAGAGAGGGATGAAAGGAGAGGATGAGGACAACAGAGGAGACTGACCTTTATATACCAAGCAGTCTGGCTTGGAAGAAGGAGAGGCCAGCAATTAGCTGAGAGTCATCTTGGGTTTGGTTTGCCTTCCAGGCAATAAGTTATTTCTAAGTTCCCAACACACCTCAAAAATAATCCTCTGGACCAAAACGACTTTGCTTTCTTAGCTTAATCACCCAAACCTGCCTTGGTTGACAAAAGACAGGAGCTCTCCACCCTTCCTTCATGTGATTTCCTCAAGGGTCTTAGGGAACACAAACAGCACCTGATCCAGCAGGATGAGTTGAGTTTTGACACCAGGGAATCAAGAGCCACTGAGCTCCATGACACAAGAGTGAGGAGGAGACAACCTCTTCCAGGTGGGCTGAGTGCCTTCCTGTAGTGCCATAGTGCCACTGCCCAATGACATGTCATCTGTGATCTGTGCCCACCTCTTCAGAGAAATACCCAGAGGAGGGCTTGGGGTTGGGGGAGGGGGATGAAAAGTACGCTGACCCCACAGGGTGCACTCTAGGCCCACCTCAGCCAAGGACATCTGTTTAAGCCACCCTGCCATTTGAGCTAAGAAGTGTTGCTCATGGGAAATAAAAGTGGAGATAAAATGTCTGGCCCATGAGAAAAGTGAAAGCCATGTACGAAGCAAGCAAGTGTGAGGCTTGGAAAGAAGAAGGAGACATGGACAAGGAGGAGTCTCAGACCAAACCCCTCCACCACCATCCTAGATCAACAGCAGATGATTTCTGGATCAGGAAGCAAGAGAGGAGAGAGTGTGAGCATTCTTTAGTTGGCTGATAGAGTCAGCTCAAAGACCCCATTCATCTTAAGATAAGAGTGTGTGCTGTATCAGAGCTGGTGACCTTAGGATCTCCTGTCCCCTTCACCATCTGGTCTGAGTTAGATGCCCCTCCCTGGTCTCCCACCATGCACTGCACTTTTCCCACCATGGCCCTGATTTAACGTATACTTATCTCTTCATTTGTCAGTATCCCTCTTGGCTCTGAGCTCATTGAAGGAGGGAACTGAGTCCTATTCATTCTAAACCTCCAGATTCTTGCATAGGGTAAACATAACACAAACATGTGGTAACTGGCTGATGACCAGTTTCTAAGAATATAAATATCTATACCCAGGTCCCACCCTAGTCTTATGGAATGAAAATCTCTAGAGAAAGGGCTTGCATGTCTGTATTTTTAACAAGCCCTCCAGGTAATCTCTATGACCAGGGAAGTTTGGGCAACACTGGTCTAGACTATGAGTATTCCATCAAGGCCAGGAAGTGGGGGGAGGAGGGAGGAGGTGAAGGACCCTTGGTGGTAGAATGGGTACACTGACACATTGCTGCTCTAACTTACTACAGCTTAACTGTCCCCATCCTCATGCAATCCACCTCCACACTCAACCATGCCACACATGGCTAGAGCAAATTCTCAGGTTATTATCTACATATCAGACTTCACAAGATATGACAGGAGTAGAGCAGAAGGATTCTAGAATCCCCAGAAATAGGTGCGTGGTATATCTCCATAATTCCAATCAGATCAGCAGCAAGCACTCTGTCTTTTGGGGATGGTTTCTAGACAGTCTGAGGCAGGGTCTGAAGAACCCCAAGTTAAGCAATTTTAAGTACTCTGTAGCTAATTCTCAATTCTCTGCTCTGCAGTTTGTCTAGAGCCAGCTCCACTACTCACTAGCTCTTTGACCTGAACAAGTTATTTAATTTTTATGTGTCTTGGTTTCCTCAACTATAAAATGGGGATGACAATAGCATGTATTTGTGGGGTTGTTATGAGTATTAAACAACTAAATCAATGCTCAGTATTTGGAGGCATGCGGGAAGAGAATAATATGTCTGGCCTCAGCTATTCTCAAAACAGGAAGCTGAGTGTGAGTGGAGACTAAGAAAACCAAGCTGGGAGAATAGAAAGCAAGACCTCTGCTATGATGGATTTGGGTTGGGTGACCTTGGACTGTGATTTAACACACAGTCTGTTCTGACCTGTCAAATCCCTTCCTATTCACTGGTTGATGATGAGCCTCACTGGAAAGTGAAAGCCCTTTAAAATTTACTAAAAGCCACACAAGAGTAAGGTACCTGTGGTCTAACAGAAAGCCTGTCATCATGGACGTCGGAAGATCTGGGTTCATACCCCTTGTCTACCTCTCTCTGTGGTGACCTTAGACAAGGGCCTTGACTTTTTTGAGCCACTCGTTCCTTATTTGTAAAATGAGGATTCTACCCCACTTGCAGGATTGTTTTGATATTTAATTAGTGTCCAGCAGCAAATGTTTGGATTTTTTAAAAACACTATTCATCCAGACAATCCAAGAAGGGGATTCTATGTTGGGTTCTTCTTTGAGACATTTACTCCACCCATTAATTGAGTGCCAATCTCTCTTGTTGAGGTCTTTATGCATAATCTTTAAAGTTTCTTTAAAAGTAGATCAAATGCTCTCCCTAGGAAAAATGTTGAGCCAGGCTCATCTGAAGCCCCAGTTGAGAGCCCAAAGCAAACGAGGACAGACATCAGTGTTTCCGACGCCCCTCCCCTCCCTTGGCTGCAGTGCTGAGGCAGCAGTGGCAGCCTCCTAAGTGTGGCTCATCTCTGCCTCCCCAGCATATGCTGGAAAAGAGGGACAGAGAGAAACAATGGGCAGATCACAAAAACATGGTTTGGGTTGGGTTCTCCTAATCCATGTCTCCAGAGCCTGCCAAAGCATCATCTTATTTAGCCGGTTGGGGTTGTTTTCTTAGCAGTTGACTGAAACTGCTGGAAATATACAGAGTTAGCATCGTTGGCAGCACTTTTCTTACTCACTACAGGATCTTTTAGAGCAGTGGCGTCTAAATGGTCTGCCTGCTGTCAACAGTCTGAGTTCTAGTCACTCACCTGCAGAACCTTCTGTGTGAAGGTAGCCAAGTGGCTAAGCGCTCTGGGTCCCTACTTCCTCATCTATAAAATAGGAGCAATTGTCACCAAGCAGAATTATTTCCTCTAACCAAATTGCTCTCTGGTATTCACTACAGTCAGAATACTTAAGAGTGGTTGGTCATGTAATTGTGAGTGGAAGTATCATCAGACAGTGGCCATTACCTGTAGGTCAAAGTAAGCAGACATCCCTCTCCACCTGGAGCCGAGGATGAAGGGGTGAGAGTTACATGCTCCTTTATGTGTGTGGATTCGCAGATACAATTTTCTAGGTCACTATTAATCTGTTCTCAAACAAAAAGGACAATCATACTGGTTATGCTGTCCCTGGACTAAAAATTACTATTATTTTCTCCTTTTTATCATGTTAAAATAAAAGCATACCACAACTAAATAATTTTAACAAATGAACTGTAAAAATATATTACATATAGGGCTAGCTCCCTTCATAAGTAAAGATTGTTAAAAAGTAAGCTAAATCCTTCAGTTACTAAGTCTTAGTTGTTAGCAATAACAATTTATTCTAATTCTGGTCTTCTCTCCAGACTTGGTGAAAATAACTCTTCAACTCACCCTTAAATCCTTATCTGGTACTAGATTCTCTCCTGGGGCTTGTCTAGAGCAGAATTCTATGCCCTAAGATTGGGCATAGAATTGTCTTGATTGCCTGTGGTCAAATAAATTTGGGTAATGAAAATTCTATAGCTTTCTCTTAGGGTTTTAATAAAGCTCATTTACATATTAAAGGCCCTGAGAAGCCCTGTAGAAAAGAATCATTTACTTTTACTTGATCAGAGCTTCCCAAACAAACTTAACAATAAAACCATTCTATCTTGACCCCTATTAACATGCAGTTGAATATACTCAGAGAAACACTGGTCCAACTACTATGTCCAGAGTGGGAATGTGTAGACAGGGCAGTCATGGTTAAGGCATAAGGTCAAGAAGACTTGCTTCATCTCTGTAGAGAAAGCACTTGCCCCAAGTGAGAAAGACAGAGGAAGCTGAGAACAGACTAAAGCCTGCATGTTGCAGATGCAGAGAGAAGGGCTCTAGGATGCTGGAAAATGAAGAAGGTCCCTGAGGACTAATTCACCTATCAATGTATATTTCTCACCAGCCATGGATCTTGATGGGTCTTCCCAAAGTCATTGACCTTCCTTCAGGGAGCACCATGGGAGAGGGGCCTCCTCCATTTTCACTGGTATGCTGGATTTTCTGGAACTCAAATGACAACACCTCCTCCTTCTCTTTCCTTGCAACTTGGAAGAGTGGAAAACATAGAGTCCTTGGAGTTAGGCCTGTGTTCAAAGCTCAGCCTCTCCACTTTTCAGTTACATGGCCTCCAGGAAGGTATTTTACCCTCAGGCCTCAGTTTTCTGGTCTGTAAATTGGGATTAGCATAGCCTCCTCATCAGGCAGCAGAGGACTACAGGAGGTAGTGTTAGAAAGCCCTTACACAGGGCAGTGCTCAGCACTTAGCAGCCCTTGTGATGGTAATGGAGATGCAAGGTACAAAGCCCTTCTAGAAGTTGTCAGTTTGGAGGTTGCAGGGGAGGAAAGAGTTCTAAGGGGTAGCCCTGTTTAAGGCCAATGCAGAATTGAAGTCTGGTTTCTGCATAAAATTGTAAGGAATCACAGCTTCTGAATTCAGAGTTACATAAAAGCCATTCTCTCCTGCCTGGCCAGGCCAGTTTCCCACTCTGGGCTCGTCAGTAATGCAAGCCATCAATCAATCAAATATTTATTGAGCTACTGCATACTTCCCAAAATTATGGGAATTAGGACTTAGTGAACATAATTTCCTCCTTCAAATCCTTGCTTCTTTCACCTGTCTGTGAAAAAATGTGTAAAAATGGCTGACATTGAGTGCCTGCCATTTACCAGGCATTGAATTAGTATCTTTTCTAATTGTCATAAAAACTGCAACGTCGGGACTTTTATTCCCACTTTACAAATAAGGACAAGTTTAGTGAGGTTTATTAAGCTTCCCCA